CCTGTCCGGGCACACAAAAGCTGCACGGTTGTGGCTGTGGGTCCTCAAGGAAGCCGCCATGGAACTTGGCCCATGGAATGGGCTTCCCTGCATCAGTGAACAACTACAGACACTTGGGAAATGTTCCTCCCAACCAAAGAAACCACTGGTCCCTGGCTTTACACAACACATAGATTGGTAATGCAGCCTACTGGATCTCCAGGTAAGATAACTTTCTCTTTTTTCTGTTGCCTCTCACTACACATTTTTCAGTCATGAGAGGGGAGTATCAGCTTGCAGCCCTGAGCAAAGTCCAGTGTGGGCAATCCCATTTTGCTGACATAACCTACCATAGCAGTGGAATGCTATATCTGCACCACTGGCTCTGAACTGTTGCACAGATGTGGCACATGTCAGGGGGTTGTGCTCCTCCTTTGAAATGGCTGCACCTCATGGCTGGAAGATGAAGTGCCTGTGTCTCTGCACTGAGCAGAGCAGCCAACTCTAGACAGAATTTGGTATTTAAGTGCAAAATGGAGATTACACCGCAGAGTCAAAACATTTAACAGCAGTATTTTGAATTTCAAAACTGTATGAAAGATCAGTTTTAACCTTTGAATAGAGTTCAAAAGATGTCCCTCAGCACACATCCACTTTTAAATAAACAGGAGAATCAAGGGCCCTGACATTTCCAAAGCCCAAAACACCAGTTTGTTTTCCTTACATAAATACTTAGAATCTCAGCAACTGTCTACAAAAGATAACGACAGAATTTGTCATAGTTAAATGTGATCTGCTGATAGATTTAGCTTGCAGTTTTACAGCACCTTTGGGGAGCTTTAGTCCATTGAATAGAAGAATTTGGATGTGTTGTGAGCTCTAAGGAAACGTTCTTCCCCTCAACGTTTTTCATAAATGTCATTGAAGATGCAGCAGCCATGCAGTAACTGAGAAAAGCAGCTGCCTTACCGTCAGGCTGAATTAGAATCATAGTGCAAATATACTTAAATGACTCAGCAGTAACTAAGTGAGTATTTGGGATCTACTCTCCCCTGGTAGTGGTCATGTAATTCCCCTTCATCTACATGGGAATTGAACACATGTTTAAGCAGAAACTAAATACGTAGTGATGTAAACCCTTCAAGATTTTTTTTTTTTGAGAGAAAATACACTGACAGAAGTTTTCTGTTATCTTCTGTTATTGCTGTTTGTGTTATTAAAATTAGCATTTTTGGCCAGGTTAGGGAGAATTAAAAATCCCCATTTTTCTTCCCCAAAGTGCCCAAGGTTTTCACACCTTTCCATTTGTTACTGACACAGTAGTAACAACACCATGTGTATAAATGGAGTTTATTAGACTACTGATATCTTTAAAAGGAAGTTTTGAAAATCAGGAGTAGGGCCTTTGAAAGAGGTTAATCACAGAATCATAGAATAAAATATGTTTTGGAAAGACTTCTCAAATAATGGAGTGCAACCTATATTAACTTAGATTTGGTATATTTTCAGCCCAATGGACTAACACAGAGTGACCAAATAAATTCACTGTCCACCTCTGAACTGGACAATGTTGTTTTTCAGATTTACAACTTACCAGTCCCTCTGTCTCACATCCCTGCTAAAATGTCTCCCTATGGGAGTAGGTATTAGCTCATACTCTAGATAGAGCAGCTGGTGAGAAAACCTGATGCATCTGGAGAAAAGATCAGGTATTTGTGCAGAAGGAGCCACATCTGGGAGGTGGTTGTTGTCTCCTGCCACTACGTGTGTGTAAATATATTAGTGTGGTATGGATCTTCATGGCAGGGATCCATACACTCACATGCCCATCCTGTGGAAGCCACTGCTCTGCCAGGCCAGTGGGAAAGCACAAGCAGCAGCACACAGGAGACAGAAAATGGGTAGTCATGAAAAAAGAAAGGCAGGAAAAAAATTAAGAACTATAAGCCAAAAGACACACTATTGTTTTTTTTTTAGCCTCTTGTGGTAAACATGAACATCAAGATGAATTGGCTACCATTATGTAACTGCAAAACAGGTCTATCACACAACCTCTGAGTCGAGGGTTTGCATGTAGCCCTGCCTGAAGGAGCAGTATGAGGCATGCTGTTTCTCTGCCAAAGACATAGATACATATTTCTATTACTTACCCATCTTTTTTTTTTTTTTTTAGTATGTAGTTATGCCCTTAGGCTGGGAAAAATATTTATGCTCTTCTCTCCGGTGTATACATTTTCTAAGGACAGCACCACTCTTATGCATATGCAAAAGTGCATGCTTTACATATTTACTTTCTTTATACAAAAGTGTGCCTGCCACATCATGTACTGCTTTCACTTCTGTGCATATTCCCCCAAATTTATCATCTTCTCATATTTAGCATGTAATTCTCACTCAAATCACAAGCAGCCAGCTCTTCTTAATAACAGTTATTTCAGAGATAACAGCTAATTATGACATTTTAAAAGGCATACATTAATATTTCAGTAGGCTCAATGTTTTGAAATACTACACAGGGCAACATCTTGGTTGTTTTTGCAGAGAAACCTAAGGATTCATTCAGCAAATAGGCAGTTAAAACATCCTTCAACAAACCCTTGCAATCACTTTCTACAGTGTCTTCTGTTCATCATAAGCCACATTTTGAAAAAAACCCCCAGCTTTAATAGATCACTTCTTAATGTAATTAAGTATATTTAACAACAGTATACTTCAGAGTGCTTAAATTAGTCCTTTGCCTCAAGACAATGTATTCCTCTAAATCCCTCCCTAAAACATTCTTATTCTGTAAATCCTATTAGCATTAATCTGCTGAAGTTAGGTGTGTTTTATAATTTTTCAGATACCTGGAAAGCTTTGAGAGCTACCACTCATTCAGCAGCTTATGGTTCCTTCTGGAGGTCTAACTTAGCCTGGAAACTTTGAAAGGTTCATGCCACCCTGCCTAGGATATCCTCAACTCAACAGTGCTATAGGGAAAAGAATAAAGTGGAGCATTTATTGTAGGATGGCATTAGCAAGGGTGTGGTAAGAAGGGACAAAACTGAGACTGAAACCTAACTGTGTACTATAAATGCACAGGAGAGAAGGGATAATTCACCTCTCTTTTATCAATTCCACAGTGCATTTTGTTCTAGAAACAACAGAGACTTTTATCTGAAAGTCCTTGGATGACCGATCCCATTTAAATTCAGCCTAAGCCTCTGCAGGCTGGAGTGAGGCCTGACCATGCTGTGAGGTGGAGCCAGCAGGGACCCCAAATATTTTCCAGCTCTAAAAAAGCATGGTTAGATTATTGTTTCAAAAGGAAGATTAACACCTCTCTGAACTGAAATGAAATGCATGCACAAAAACCTAGGAAAGGGGATTTCTGTTCCTCCCTGAGGTGCATGAAAAGTCTTTATTGGAAGAAAAAAGTGGCCACATTTTCCTTTCAGGTTTATCTCACAGGCATGTGAAAGGCACTTGGAACTTCCCAAACCATCAATTCAGTGCTGTGAGAATTTGTAAAAGTTAACAAGGGGAAGAGCGAGTTATTTGAGGATTTCTAAACCATTTTAAGCAGGAGCATGGAAAGATTGCAGAGCACACATTTTTAAATCATCTTATTTCAAGCTTCTAAAATCTTTGTCCCAAGATCTCGCTACTATATTAAGCTTGGTCACAGAAAACAAGACAGCAGGGCTGCTGACTTTAATTTGGATTCAGAAAGAGTAGTGTTGCCTAGCCTTTCCTCCCAAGCCAGGAAATGCTGGAGGTATGGTTCCAGAGCTAACACTCCAGCCTCCTCTCCCTTGAAGCTGCCATGTTGTAAAGGGTTTACAATATTTTTGAGCAGCTTCCCCCTTGAGGGATGATCTTTCCCCACAGCCCAGGGACACTACTGGGGGAAGCGTGCCGGGGGAAAGCACTGGGGCTGGCAGGTTGGTTATTCCCATTAGAGACCAGGGCCACCACGGGGGGCTTCTCTCCTCTGCCTTTAACCACTCATGGAGGTCTTTCCCGTGAGTGGAGGGGCACAGCGGCTGGCACGGGCTGGACATACACCCAGCCACGGGGCTCTGTTTTGGAGCTGGCTTATCCCAGGGACCAGCCTGAAGTGTGTCAGGGGAGGTTTAGGTTGGACATTAGAACAAGGTTCTTCATAGGGTGAGTGGGCACTGGAACAGGAGCCCCAGGGAAGTGCTCACAGCACCAAGCCTGACAGGGTTCAAGAAGCATTTGGACGACGCTCTCAGCACATGGTGGAGTTCTTGGAGTGTCCTGTGCTTGGCAAAGAGTTGGACTCGATGAACCTTCTGGGTCTCTTCCAACACAGGATATTCTCTGGTTCTGCGGCTTGGGGTGGCTGCCATGCCCACCATCCTCTGCCGAGGGCACAACACCTACCAGTCACCACCCGACCGGGCCGATACACGGGGCGCTAAGGCTGAAACTTCGCCCCGGGCCGGCAGGACAAAAAGGGCCGGGAAGAGCTACGGCTGCGGCCGCCCCGCGGCTAATGGGCGGCGGCGGAAGCGCCCCGATACCGCGGCTGGAAATTCCCCGGCGGCAGCGGCCCCGCAGCCCTGGCCCGTGGCAGCCTCAGGGCGAATCCCGGCGCACCCCTCCCCGCTCCGGGGCACTTCCCCCGGCCCGGCCCTGAACAGCGCGCGTCCCCCCCATCCCCGGGTCTTTCAGCATTCGCCAGTACTTTTCCCGGGCGCTTTGGCTCCCAGCGGGGCAGCTTCTCCGGGAGCGCCGAGTCTCACGGGGATGGAACGGGAAGGAGGCGTCAGGGCGCTCCTGCCGGGCAGGGCCCCCTTTGCCCCGCCCCGCGGTCCCGGAGCGGTCCTCCCGCAGAGGGGAGGGAGCCACCCAGGCTGTCCCTGCTCGTCCTTCCTGCGCTGGGGCGGGGGAGCAGCGGCCCTCCCGGCGGGCGAAGGGGAGCCCGGAGAGCTCCTCCCGCGCGATCCCGGCAGCGGCAGCGGCAGGAAGGGCAGGGCGGGGGCGGGGGCTGTGCCTGTGCCGGGGGGGGCGGTTCGCGGAGGAGGGGCCGCCGCCGCCGGGCGCAGCAGGCAGAGGGAAGGCAGGGAGCGGAGCTGCCGTTGCCGCCGCCGAGGGCCGGGGCCTTGGACGCGTCCGGCGAAGAGCGCAGGAGGAGAAGGAAGGGGAAGCGGGGGGAGCCAGCTGGCCCCTCTCGGAGGACGCGGCCCGCATCCGCCCAGGGAAGGGCAGAGGGAAGCGGAGGGGGAGCGAGCGGGCGCCGCCGCCGAGGAGACAAAGAAGCGGAGCCCGCCTGGGCTGGGAGCCTCCCCGCCGCCGCCGCCCGCCCCGCTCCGCTCCCCGCCGGCCGGCCGGAGGTGAGCGCGGCCGCGGGCGGGACGGGGATGGGGCCGGGGCGGGGGCTGGGGCCCGCCGCAAACTTGTGGCGCCCGCGGGGGACGACGCGGGGAAGGGGCGTCGGGAGCGGGGGAAAGGCGGGTGTCACCTGTGCGGCCGAGGCTCCGCGGCCGCCCCGCGCAGGAGGGGGCCGGTACCTGCCGGGGGCGGCACGGGGGGCCCGGAGCGGGAGGAGTGTTCGTTGTGCCACGTCCAGTTGCGGGGGGGGCTCGGGGGCGGCTCCTCCTCATCCTCCCGAGTTGCTGCTCGTGTGCGTGTGACAGCCGCTGCTTTGTGCTGCCCGGCCGGGGGGCAGCGCCGGGCCGGGACGCCACCCCCCCGCACCCCTCGCGGGGCTCCGGTGAATGGAGGCGGCGTATCCGGCGGCCGCGGGGCAGCGCCGGGGGAAGGCGGGCAGCGCCTCCCGGCCGGAGAGCGGCGCAACCCGAAAGTTTCCCGGGCGGGAGCGGGAGCGCCGCCGCCCCGCACGGGGACCGGCGGGCGGGCACACCGGGCTGCGGCGGGGACATCGCCCTCGGTCCGCTCCGTTCGTTTTTCTTTCCGTCACCGACTTTCGACCTCAGTAGGGCTGAGGCCGGGGATTTTCTCAAGGAGCGCTGTGCGCTGTGGCCTCGGTCGATGCCAGTGTAGGTAAAGGACATAAAGGTAAAATTACGTCTCACGTAATGAGTGTTCAGTGAAGCGCATCCCTGCGTGTTTTGGGAAGAAAATTACTGAAGTTTATAAGTCTTATCTCCCTGTTTTTAATTAAAAATGTGCCCAGGCTAACAGCTACCCGTTGCTGGCAAGGTAGGCACTTTGGCCTATCTAAGATCAGGTTTGTAGTTCAGGTCTGACCTGCAGCTGGCTGATCGTGAAGGCTCTCGGCTCTATTTCCTATGTTAATATCTTCCACTGTTTTTAAACAGTGAATGTGGTTCTCTGTGTGCATCAGGGTTATTCCGTGAATTCTATGCAGTATTTCACTCGGAACTATCATGTTTTTGTAAAACAAAGAGAAATCTTCTGTTGTTTTAAAAGTTGTATGGTGACTGAAAGTCGGCAAGAATTTAAAGCATTCTTCAGCTTGAAAAGTGTGTCCTCCCATGAAGCTTTTTTGTTTCTGAGGAACATACTGCTGCTGTTCTAGCAGCTTAACGTGGGAGAATTAGACTTCTCTTTCATGAAATGTGGTAGTGGCCTTTGTAAAAACAAATTTTCATGGCCTAACCACGCGTGGTTTGTATCATTGGGAGTTTGGACTGGTAACTTAATATGGAGGAATTTGAAAGGACTCGCTGGGTAGGAGATTATGAAGAATTTCTGTTTGAAAGTACTTGTTTTGCCATTGCTTTTTAGGAATCTGAAGGAGTCAGCACCACATAGATGATGTCAATGGTATTATGTTTTCATTTGTAGGATTATAATTTCTGATGTAATGTTGTCTCTTTTCTGAAATACTGATTTCACAACTCTGGAAATCGAAAGCCTCTGTCTCACCCAAGTGTGTTTAAGAAGTTAAGCAGATCGCTTTGTCTTTGTAACTGACTTTCTTCTTGTGACTTTGACAGAAGATGTCACTTTTGGGAACAGTGAATAAATGTAGCAATAGAAGGCACCTGTACCATGAAGATCAAGGCTGTAATTAGCAAATATTTTTATATAGGCCATGAAACAGATACAGATTCATTATAATGTTAGCTCTTATTGCTGTTGATCTGTCGTTGCATCATTAGCTGTTGCATTTGCCTCCTGCTTCTACCAGATTACATTTCCGATTACTTTTGTGAAAAAAAAAAATATACACAAAATCTCTTTTGCAATATTTTTCCAAAACTAATGTGGTAGTCTGAATCATCCTTTTTACTACATCTTGGCTACCGAACATATGATAAATTCAGAACTTCAGCCTTTGCCTTCTTGCATGACAGAAATGGAACTTACCTCCCCTTCCTCTCTTTTCTTCTCTGTTTTTCTGGCTAGCTGTCTGAAAGCTTAAGGAAAGGTGTTTGCTCTCTTCCGTGTCACCTCACATCTTCTGTTAGCTAAAGAAGAGGGACAAGGTCAGCAGTGTCTGCTCCTTTGTGTTTTTTTTTTTTTTTTGGTGTTTTTTTTTTTTTTTTTTTGTGCCTTGTGTTGCTGTTGGTATGTTAATCCTTTGCAGTGCTCATGGCTTTCGTCGGTAGAAACTATAACAGTAACGACTCGAAAAGTGATACTCAGATAGCTCTGCTTGCTGGTCCTGGTCTTCAGCAGCAGCAAAACTACCCAGAGTATCTGCGTGTTTCATGCTCCTTGAGCATAAAAGCTGCCTCCAGACTTATGGAGACAGGTGCTGTATCAATTTACTTGCAGAAAATCAAAACCAAGGCATCTTTGAATGTAAAGCATATGTTCTAAAAAAAATATATTTTCTGTTTGTATTGAGGGACTGATGGTTTCTAAGCTGGGGGTATTCCCAAACCCCACTCCCACGGTGTTCTGAGGAAGGGGGATTGCTGATGTGGATTTATTAGAGGTGTTTGAGGGAGTTTGAGAACTGAAAGCAGGCACTGCTGGGTTGGGGTTGGTTCAGTCAGCCCAGGGTGAGGTGCTGGTCGCTGGACACCCTCTTCCCCCAAAGTAGGTCATCTGGCATGTGGAAAAGGCGGAGAGTTGAGGCTCTCTGCAGGAGAGCTGCTTTCTGCTTCTCATCAAATAATGAACTTAAAGGTAGTACACTTTGTCCTTGTGTTTACTAGGTATACAGAAATGTTGTAGAACAGTAGTTTCCAGGGAGTGAAAGTCAGGAATTCTTGCTAGTTCCTGAAGTGAACGATGTTTAGAGAGCTGGAATGGTGTTTGCAGTGGAGGAAATAGCTTTGTTTTGTCATCCTGAGGTGAAGAAGTGAGGCCTGCACTAATCATTTTGCCTGTGCACCATTGTCCAGTCTTTACTATGTGAGATCCTGGTACACCTTTTGAGAAATGACTTTTCTGTTTGTTTTGCTTTGCAGATTTCTGCATGTTGGCCCAGGAATCCAAAACTTATTTCTGTTTTAGGTAGTTCCAATTTAATTTTTTTCTGCAAATTAATTAGGCCCATTAGTTTTCTCATAATAATGTAGTCAATGGTGTTCTGCCCAATTAAACTGTTGCTCTGTTCAGTAGTGTGTAAAGTAATTCTTCAAAATGGTAAGTTTTTGTTGTTTTGTTTTCTTTTTCCTTAAAGCAATATTTTTCCCCCATCATAAGAATTCTTAATTGTTTCATAAATGCTAATGACATGAGTCAGTTGAAAGTGCATTGCAGTATGAAATATATATTTTTATATTCACTTAAGTATATGTGACACAGCAAATCAATTTGTTTCTCGCTATTAATGAAGGGAGTTTATAGTTTAAACCCAACATAAATAATAACTTTGAGGTGGCCTGACAGTATACATTTTTAAGCTTTCATAGAGTATTACGAATTTTAAGAATTGAGGTGCAGAGGAATAGATCTTGATTAGAGAATAGCAACCCATTGCATTTTAAATTACTGCACCTATGCACAAAACCCTGGTGTCAAGTAAAGTTTTAGGAATACTCATGCTATGAAAAACTTTTGTTAGACTGGAAGCTCAGGCATGCTGTTATAGCCTGTATTTGTTCACAATTGTAGAAACAAACTTTGTGGCTTAGAGGCTTTTTTTGCACTGTAGGTTTGCTATGCTGGTTTTATCCTGATCTCATTAGCCAGTATTAATATTGTGACATGTAACTACTGTTCATTATTTGGTGGAGCAGAAAATGTGGTGAACAAGGGACATTTGGCAGATCACTGAATTCTCAAAAGTGTTGATTCTCTCTTACAGTTGTGACAAAATACAGTTGGAGAATAAAATGGTATATGGGTGTCTTTTTACCTCCCCAGTTTTCCTCATCTTGTATCAGTTACTGTATGCAGAGTACACACAACCATAGAAACAGGTGTGAAAACAGGTAGTGAGATAAACCACAGATAGAATATAGCAGAAATTTTATTAGACAAAAGAAGATCATCTTTTACAGAATCAGGTAGCAACTTTTCTTAGGCAGTCTCCTGTTTAAATATTTTTAAAAAATTAATTGAATTAAATACAAACTTTGTTTCAAATAAGATTTTTTTTATCAGAGAAAACAGTTAGGGGAGCCTGTTGTGTTTCAGCAGTTGTGCTATTTGGATAGGTGGGGCATTAATAACCAATAATAAATGAGCAGGCCTTCAGTTTATTACTTTTTTTGATAGGAAGGCAGATTTTAGCCTTCTGAGGTGTTTGAAGTTTCTGTATTCCAGAAATGATCAGAGTAATTATGAGGGCCTGAATAAAGAGAAGTGACACGAGTGTGAAAGCAGGTACTGAAGTTTATGGAGAAGCTGGAGGCTGTGGATGCTCTTCCTGATGCAGTCCTCCGAGTCTGGGTCACGTCCTCTTGGAGGGTGAGAAGCTGCTTTTAGCTGAGTGCTGACTCTAGCCTGTCTTTCCCTGTGGGTTACACTGGGTCAGCTCTGTGCAAGTGCAGAGGAGCCGTCAGACGCTGCAGGGGAACAGTAAGAGGGTTAACAAAGGCAGGTGCTTTTCGCTCATGCTGGGGTGGATTATTGATTCTGATGGCAGTGCATCATTTAAAAAGTATGTGTTCTGTTTTTAAGAAAATAGAGGCAAGCTCTTGGAAAAAAAAAGTCAATTTCGCTTTGGATTTAACTATATTGTTCTTATTTATATTATTTTCAAAAAGTAACCTTTCCTTCAAAATAAGATTAGATCCTTGCAAGGGTGGGAAGGTTTAGAAAGGAATAATGGTATTCATTAAGCATATAAAATATAAATGAAGTATAGTAGAATTTTCTAACTCATCCTTGTCAAATTTAAGTTGGCTAAAATGATGCTATTTGTATACCAATTAAGTATTAGTTAACTATATAGTAAAATAAAACACTTAATTCCTTCAGTCTTTTCATAGGTTTGGGAGAGAAG